AGAGGAGGCTGCAAGAAATAATGTTCTTTTTTTCAAGATCCAAATCTTCTAATGGTAGTCTCTTTTCTTTTAGATTAAGAATGTTATGTAAACATTAAGCAAAGTAAGCAGGGAATAATTCAGAATACTGATCTAACAGAGATGTTTTTGCTAAACATTTTTAGCAAAACCAGAGAAATTATTAAATCTTTTGTTTAAAATAAAATCTAATTTGTGCTGCTTGTTAAGTTCCCAATTCTTATTGTGATTGAACTACCGTATATATCTAACTGTAAAAATATATTGCCAATGGAAACATTGATATTAAAAGAATATAGGTGAGGAATCTTTGCATACAGATATATTGCTCCATGAAATAAATAAAAATATCCATATTATTTAGAAAAATGAGCAGAATCCTAGAAAGAATTATAGTGAATGCTTGTATATAGTCAAGACTCATATAGTCAACACCCTAGATACAATGTAGAAATAAGGTGCTTTTCAATTCTAGTTCCCTGGAAATGTTTTGAATGATAGCTCTGTCACTGACATCCACAAAGATAGGAGCAAGTGGCATCATAAACTTTATCATGCAAATAATATCAATTATATGCCATAAATCATTTGCATCATGACATGCCTGGTGCTAACTATATCTTATATAATTTGTTTTGAAACTTACCATTAATCGTAGATACTGCCATTTTTCTGAAACCTCATTACAGTTTCCACATTTAAGCTGGAAAATAAAAGGAAAACAAATGCAAACTAAATATATTGAATGGAACCCAACAACACAATAATCAAATGTTTAAATTTAAACATTTAAACATCTGGATGGAGAAGTCTTTGGGGTTTTGGGCCAAATGATCCTGTGAAAGACCATCTTTGTCTATGAATGGAATTGGCCTCCCACATTCAGAGATGTTTTACAATTTGGGGTGATGGTGGTGTCCTCTTAAAGTCATAGCTCCTTCTCAATTAACAAGTGGTAGTTGTGGCTTGGAGGGCTTTTGCACAAGTATGTCTTCTGCACTAACTGCATCCATTCCTGGTTTGCAAGTCCCTTCTCAGACACCAATATCTTTACAACCTTCCATTTAAATTCCTGTAGTGTCCTTTTACTTAGGAATGCCTTTAAAGAACATTCAGATGTTGCAGCTGGTACAGAATGGTGTTATTGATATATTCAGACATACCTGGAGGGGCATTGTTTGGGGAGCTACAACTGTTACCAAATTGATTCACGGTTGGGAATGTCACTTTTAAAGCCATATTTGTCTCCGGCTTTAGTCACTGTCTGAGGTACTCTGCCCACCTCACCTGATCAGACTCAACCCTTCTTCTTGTAGAAAATAATGGCTTCTCAGGACCAGAAAGTCCCATTAAAGCTGCTAACTAGAAATCAGCAAACAATATTACAATAGTGTGATGGGGCAGCTGAAGAAATGTACGCAAACAATATTAGTTGCAGTGAACCTGAAATACAATTTGCAATTCACCTCATTCCAAAGAGGTCTCTAAGGGGGCGTGCATAAGCGCACCAATGTGCCTACTGTCCCTGTCCTACTGTTCCCATTTATTTGTACTCATTTCTTATGAATATTTATAGTTATACCGTATAATATATATAGTTATATTATAGCTATTGTATATAGTTATACTGTGTTTCCCCCAAAATAAGACAGGATCTTATTTTCTTTTGACCCCTGAAATAAGCACTTGGCCTTATTTTGGGGGAGGTCTTATTATTTTTGAGGTGCAGGAGGTGGCGAGCATGGTCACCTCATGGCTGCTGCAATATTTTTGGGGAGGGCTTATTTTCAAGGGATGGCTTATTTTAGCGCATGCGCTCAAAAGCCCGATTGGTCTTATTATCCAGGGAGGTCTTATTTTCAGGGAAACAGGGTATCTGCTTATACTTATATGTCATATTCGTACTTATACTTGTTTTCTCATACATGTTTGACAAACCAAATTTAAAAAATAATAATAAATAAAATAACAATGCCCTTGATTCAAAGCCACTGTGTTGCATCCAAACTTGTAGATGTTGAAGTGGTGGGACAGAATGGCTAGAGCTGGGTATGAGAGAGAACATGCACTTGCTTTTTAAATGGTAGTCACCTATAACCCATGACACCGGGCCAACCTTGGCTAACTTAATTAATCATGGGTGCCCCAAAGGTGCTTTTTCAAGAGGCAACTGGACTTTCTGGGTTTTCTATGAAGACGTTTCGCTCGTCATCCAAGCTTTGTCAGCTCTGACTGGATGATGGGGAATGGAAGCGAAACCACGACCTGGATGACTGAGAATTTCCGCAGAGACTGAATCATGGGTGTGTTTGTGTGTGTTGCATTTTGCGGGTGTCAGCCTGTTTGACCGAAGACCTACCTTCAGATACCATCGAAAATCCTCCCCCACCGGCCGGAGGTTTGTAATGTTTTCTAAAGTCGCTTTGAACTGCAACCCGATTTTCTGCAAGGAAGAACGTCACCCCAACCGGTTAGAGGCGCTGGGCAGACAATCCCCGCCAGCCCGGGCGAGCAGTCTCTTACCCCCATGGCCCGAAGGGGAACGAAAGGAGTCGAGCCTCAGAAGAGCCGGACCGGGCAGAAGAGATTCCCTGCTCCTCCCTTCCCACGAACCACGACACGCGAAACTCCACAGATCTCAGAGCGACTGCGGACTCCAACTGGGCAGGCGCTCCTCAACCTTCGCGAGACTTGAGTTTCGCCTTATCCGGAGAAACGGAGAGGAGAAGCGGGAGGACGGCCTTCAAAGGGGATGGGGGGAGTTCTCCCGCTGTTAAGAGAGACCCGGGTGATTCCCGAGCCGGTGCTCGGCTTCAAGAAGCGATCGGTTATCTCGATCCACACGATCCACACTAAAAGATCCCAAGGCAGGCGCCTGTTACTGGATGTTTGGAGCACACCCACATCTTGCTTCTCCTATTGGCGCCAGTTTCATATTAGATTCGCCAGGCTCGGCGGCAAAACGAGGCGTCGGTTGAACTCCGCTGGCGCCCCGAAATACGTTTCGAGGCGGCCATTTTGGGACTATTCTGGAGTTTGGAGATCCGAGTCTGCAAAAATTCGGCCGATCAAATGCTGCCCTCTAACGGCAGCCTGAAGTTTTCCAGCGTGGAAGTGGGAACCCTGCCGGACCTTCTAGATCTGTGAAGTCTTTTATTCTGTCATCCGGGTCAAATCAGGTGTTTCACTTCTCATCCAAGAAGCTTCTTCAGCTCTGACAGGATAGTGGGGATGGAGTATAAATCCTTCCATTCCCCATTATCCTGTCGGAGCTGAAGAAACTTCTTGGATGAGAAGTGAAACGTCTTCAAAGAAAAAAAACAAGCAAGCTCAGTTGCTTCCTGAAAAAGCACCTTTGGGATAGATCCGTGAGGGTTGCAGTACTTGAAAGGGGATTCGACAGTTCAAAACACTCTTTAAACTTTAACGCAGGGAACTGAAGAAATTTAAGGGAGCCTTTGGCTGGGATAGCGTGCTTTTTTACCTACCTTTCCTTCTAGGCCAGGGCCCTCCAAACTTGGCAACTTTTAAGACTTCTGATTTCCAGAATTCCTCAGCCAGCCATGCTGGCTGGAGAATTCGGACAGTTGAAGTCCACAAATCTTAAAGTTAAACAGTTTGGAGAGTTGTGACCTAGGTCATTCCTCTCAACCCTGGGTGGCTTTCAAATGTGTGAACTTCCAAGTTCTAGAGAGCATGGCAATTGCCATTTGTGTGTGTCTAATTTGTATGCCACCCATCTTGTAATCATGCAACTGGTTATCTTGCCCTGGAAGTGAGCCACAAATCAAAGTGGGAGAACCAGAATTTTGAAATACATTTAGTTAGTATCCACTTTGATACAGGTACTCCTCAACTTACAAGTTCATTTAGTGACCAGTTTTAATGGCACCCAAAAAGTGACTTACAACCATTATTCATACTTATGACCATTGCAGCATCCCTATGGTCACATGATCAAAATTCAGATGTTTAGCAATTGGCTCATAGTTGTGAAGGGTCATATGATCACCTGTTTCAACCTTCTGACAGCAAAATCAATGTGGGAGCCAGATTCATTTAACAACTGTGGCAAGGTTGTAAAATGAGACAAAATTCACTAAACTGTTTCACCTAGCAATATAAATTTTGAGCTCCAATATGGTCATAAGTTGAGGACTACCTGTATTTGACAGGGTACACATGCACACACCTCCAAACAATATTAGATGATTCATGCTATTTAAAGCTCGGGAAAAGAATTTCTATTAAAATTTCCCTTATGGTTGTGACAGTAGCAAGAAAATTGGCCTTATGCATACAAAACGGTGATCATACACTATTCTAAATTTAGACCACCAGGATTATTGGATTATTGGAAGAAAAAGAAAACAAGATTCAATTACTTCTAAATAATGCTATATAAGGATACCAATTAATTTAAGTTGTAAACAGTAGCAATGCTGTTATTTTACAAGTACTTGATTTTATTAAAATATACAAAATCAAATTGAAACCAAACACTCGTAGCACACTATGTGCGCATATATCATGCAGATGTGGGACACACTGATTTTTGTAGTCTCTTTCGCCATTCCCCAGTTTTATATGAAATGTTACAACCTATCATCTGATCATTGTTTAAACCTTCATTGCCAAAAACAAAAAAAGCCCACCTACTCCTTTCTTTTTTAGGTGCCATATGTAGACAAAACTTGAATATACAATAAATGGGCCAAAGTACTCATTTGATTCAACAGGAAACTTGATATTTCACAGAATATCTTATTCAAATATAAGATTGTTGAGGCAGACAAAAAAAATTTTTGGGAGGAAACTCAAGAAGTTGGGGTGATGCTAAGTTATTGATGATTTGGTAAGTTGTTCTAATAAACATATTGAACTATACCCTGAAACTAGGATGAATGTGGAACCATGATGTCCCAGTAAATTGCTGCAGGTTACTGGTCTCTAATAAACAATAGCAGCACCACAACTATTTTATTTATCTTATTTTTAATTACTTAATACAAAATAATGATCTAATTGTTATTTCTAATAAGAATTTGTTGCATTAAAAACATAACCCAATAATGTCTATCACCATAAGATACTGGTCTGTATCGTTGCATCTGTTCCTTTAGATACACAAATATCTTCCTTAATCACTTGTTCTGACTTATGGAAACTCTTCCATTGTATTTCGAAGAAAGCGAAAATCCATAGACACCCACAGTTCTTGAACATACTAGTTGCTTAACTTTCTTCAAAACAGAAAGGCTAAAAGAACAATTATGTACATATCTAGATGAAAGTGTTGACTCTTTTGTTATATTACCAACCCCCTCAAATTCATGCAAACATAAAAAACACGAAAACAGCCCGTTCCTAAAATATGAATCTTGTTCAACAAAGACTTTCTGAATAAAAAGAAAAAAGTCTTAGTTTTTATTAAATCACTCTGTATAAAACAGACATATATAAACATTATGTAAGATACGGAATGAAAAGAATCCCCCCCAAAAAAACTTTACTATACAAATTTAAATCCACACAATTTAAATTGGTTTAATCTTGAAATGTAATCCAATGAGACTGAAGACTAGACACTTGAGATCTTGGACAAGATAATAAAACACTCTTAGACCTTCTGGATCCCTGGGGAGCAAAATAGAAAAAAACACATAGTTAAAAGTAAGAAATTTTTGACATAAAAATCATTACGCTCAGAGAATTTCCAGGCCATCAAAATGTCAAATAACTTTTAAAAGGACTAAGGACTAATTTGTGCTGCTTCCAAAGAGAGTGGGAATTACACAAAATCAGCATAAGGGCACATGCTCTAAAAATGGAGAGTAGAATATCTTCACATCATGATTAGTGGGACATGAAGAGGAGCTCTTATTTTCCACTGAGGTACAGACTAGGGCTGCACTGTTTATAAATGCATTCAAGACAAGGCAGCTAGGATACACTTTCATTGCTTCTGCTCTTCCTAAACTAGTATCATGTGATTGCTGAACTCACAGCTTTGATTCCTATTGTCTTGGAGAGATCAAATCACAATATAGCAATTCTCTACAATGCTAACCTAATGAATTCAAAAAGACAATGAACATAATATCATTCACTCTTCAAACAGTACTTACTTGGACTGATTCACGTCAATAAGAGAACCGATTTTTGATGTTGTGAAAGAGATATGTTCATCCCCAATCACAATTTCAAGCTCCTAGAAATAAATAAAACAATAAAACAACATACATTTAGGGTGGATTACCAAATTTATGAAGCCTGAATTTCTGTTCTCCCTGTTCTCTCATAACATCTATGATTATTCAAGCCCAAAGCTTGAACAAATATTCATATTCAGCTGTTTAAGGGGCTGTAGCCACTTCTTAGCAGAAAGAGCAATCTTAACCACATATTTATATTGATGGAATTAACAAGTTAATATCTACCAGAAATTCAAAGTTTATGTTGGGTGCGTTGGGATGCAAATAAATAAGAGTGGGATTTTTGTTTGCATTTTCTTGTGTTTGGGAGATTTGATCCAACTTTACATCTCTTAACAGTCAAAAGGACTACTACACCCACTTCCCAGCCTAACCTTCCTCCAGATACTTTGGCCTTCCAACTCCAAAAATTCTTTAGCCAGCATAACTATTGCTGCGAATTCTTGAAGCTGCTTCACATATCTGGAGGGGTACCTGATTGCAACTATAACCTCATCTAGATTGATCTCTTACAGATTGCAGGTTGTGCACAAACATAGATTTAAAGCATCTGTATGATAAATAGAAAAATTGCTAACCTGCCGACCAACTCTATCTGGTGGAGGCCACAATGCATCATCTTCTTTTGTAATTTCACTGTCATCAATGATCCTCTTTAATTCTTCCATCACACTTTTATGTACGTAGGCCTAGAAACAGTGTAGAATGTTAGCACAATTCTGCCATTTTTGAAAAAAGTACATAAATGATTCATTTCTCTTCTTTTGCATTTGTACAAATATCCATCTGAAGAATTCAGAAGGAAAAAAAATCCAGAATAGGTACATTTGTACAGTACAGTCAACTGAGGAGGGTTTTACATAGAAACTTAAAACAAATAGCAAATGAATGATTAATTTTCAAAATCATGGTCCAAGAAATAGTTATGAAATGTCATAAGTTTATTTACTACTCATAAAATTTCAGATTTACTGAAACAGTCAACTTACTTCTTTTCTGATCATGACATCATTTTTGTAATTACTGTTATTTGCATATCTGAGTTTACCTGTTGAAAAAAGATTACACTGAACATTACCAGAAAAATGTAAACAAAACAGCATTTAAGTTAATTTCAATTAGCTGCAATATAATGTATTCATTATAGTTCCACAAATTAAGCAAAGAACAAGGAAGTGAAAGCAGTTGCACTCAAGCAAGTGAAAAAGGATTATTGGTGCACAGTTTCCTCAAAACTCTTAATTTCTGAGGTCCTTGCTCCCCTTTAACTACTATAAGTAATATTTAGTTATGCTGATGCTGCTGTTATTCTAAGATCAAAATTTATAGGTAGGTTTCAGTCAAGTGCAAGGAAACTGTTCTGGATGCTATTGAAATGGACATTTTCCTACTAAGCTAACTAGTCCAGGGGTTGACGAAGAAGAGTTTGGCTACTTAGTGATTCCATAACAGTAATTATTTTTTCAAATGTATATTTTAATTAGATCCTTTCATTATCTTGGAATCCGTTGCTGCATTGGCTGCCTGCCTGATTTCCTACAAAAATGTTTCATATCCCACTATCCTTCAAGCAATGAGCAATTTAGCTTTAACCTCCACATAAGCAACTCATCTTTTTTTTGGTAATTCAAATTTTTATTTTATATTATTTATACATATCAATACGTGAATGGTTTGGTACCTGGGTATCATACATTTCAATATAAATAAACATAATACTATTACTCCTAGTTATTACATTTCATTTCCATTGTTTCATATTGTTTACACATACCTTTTACTATCGCCTTTTAGTTATAAACCTTCTTTTCGTTTTTTCATATATCTTAACATCTTAATGTATTTATATACTATTGTTCGCCTCTTATTCTATCTCTATTTAAATTTCCCCCATATTGCTATAATATTCAAAGACGTGATTTCACCCTCTCCTTTCACCTGTTTTGTTACTCACATTTCCTTCAGTTAGTTCTTCACTTTTATTTATATCAAAAATTCATCCTTCATTCTTTCATTATTTAGTGTCTCAACATACACTTCTAGTACCAATCACAATCATTTAAACATTTAAAGTTCAGCTATTCATGTTCTTTCCAATTCTTCAATCCGTATAATTCTACTGTTAATACACAAGTTTACGTTAAAATATATTCTTTCATTATCTAATCACCCATAAGGAACTCATCTTTTATTCGACCAAATAACCTATGAGTCCCCCTTTTGCTCATCTTATCTCTCCAGAAGCTACAAATGCAACCTGTCAGAGCCCGATCTCATATGAACAAATTCCGCCGATCGTCCCAACACAGCCCAGATGCCGTCTCGTATAAACCTCAGCAAATACCAATCACTCCTTCCTCCACCGGGTCTGCTCCTCCCATCCGATTCACCGGCATAAGCAAGATGTATTCTTCCCTCGCAAACATCTCCCTTGCCTTGCTTCCTAGAAGCCACCACGCCTCTTGCTCCGGGACCGACAACCAAGGGGAGCCTTACCATCAGGACGGAACTCGAATTCCAGAAACTCATGGCCAAACTTGCCCTTATGCCCAACGTAGTACCGCAAATAGAAATCGCTCGCCATGATCGAAGCGCTCCCGCCGGGGAAACCAGCACGCAGCACGGCAAACTTAGCCTATGCGAGGGGGCGCCCGAAGAAGACGTCATCAAACGGAAGAGTCGCACAAGCGGATTCACCTTGCGTCTCTCTTCTCGCATGCGCATATAGTGAGTTTCCATAGACTTATAGAAAATAGAGTCGCGCGTCGCTCGACGAGTTATGCGGAGTACTTCCGCTTCTCTTTCAATAAGAAATCCCATGACTTTTCCATACAGAGTGTACACAATGTCGGAAGCGGTTATTGCGACTAATGCGGAACCGTCATCAGTAATGGGAGAACTAAGCACGGATTTAAGTGCCTAATTTCCTGACTCTCTTTAACTGAAGAGAATATTTGATTATTTTAGTTACTTTAACTATATATATATAGGGTTTCTGTCTGGATGGTCTCTTATTACGAGCCGATGGACAGAGAATGGAAGTAGTGACCTTCCTCCCATATTTGGGCATACCAGGGGTTGTGACTTTAAATATATACCTTTCTCCCTGGCTCAGCTGATAATGGAGGACAGCCTGTGGCTTAGTGGTTAATACATCTGCCTAATATGTAATACAGCCCAGGTTCGAATCCCAGTAAGGGTATGGCTGATGAGAGCTAAATCTATACTAGTCTCCCTTTATTTATTTATCAGCACAAACACCACACACACACACATACATATATATAGGTTGGTCCTGGATTTTACCTGGATGGGAGATCTTCAGGGCATTCTAAAATGGTAAGCATGTGATTAGAGACATTCTTATCCAGTGGTTAAGACATCAGTGTTACAGGTGTTATGTTTGCCTTATATACAGCTCTTTTCATTCCTTTCTATTATGTTTGTTTCTTGTATCATATTTCTATTTTATGATTCATCTTTATTGTTCCTGTGATGCATCTTCCTGTTCCTGTTGTATTCTTACACTCTAGGATGATGGCTTCTGCAGAGTGATGGCTTGTATTGTGTTTATTTGCTCCACATGAAACATTGTGTTAGAAACATCTGAATCTGCGCTGTCACTACACATTTGATGCATGCCGGACTAGCACTTGCGGTGTTGTCCTGAAAGCCAAGCATTTGAAGCAAAAAAATCAGCATCATGGCATCCGCTAACAGCATATCCCTGCCTAAGGCAATGACCGTGAGTGGAGATTGCAACAGTAACTGGGATAACTTCAGAGCAGAGTTTGAGGATTACTCCCTGGCCACAGGCTTAAATAACAAGCCGGCAGCAATGCAGGCAGCCACACTGAGGAGGCTAATAGGCAGCAAATGCCTCCATGATTACAAACACAATTTAATCCGTACAGAGGAGCAAAAAAATTATACTAAAGCCATCTTAGATGCTTTAGAAGTCTTTTTCAGATGCTCTAAAAATGTCATATATGAAAGATATATATTTGGCAGCTGTAAGCAAGAAGAAGGTGAAACAATAGACAGTTTCGTCACACAGCTAAGAGGAAAAGCTGCAAGCTGTGAGTATGGCTCTCTGAGAGATGAGCTTATTCGTGATAAAATAATTCTGGGTATCACTAGTGAAAGCACATGCTGCTGCCTTTTGAGGGAACATAATTTAAGTTTACAAGCAGCAATTGAGATATGTCGTACCACAGAATCTACTGACAAACGGATGAAAGCTTTGGAGCAAGGTAAACATTGAGTGTCAATGTTTACCCTGCTCCATGAAGAGCCACCACCACAAGCACCAGCACAAAATTCATTGTCACAACTCACCTGGGAGCAAACCAGTATCATGCAAGTACTGTGGCAGTGTGTGTGTACAAAAGAAAGAGCTGTGTCCTGCATTTGGGAAAATAAGCAGAGCATGTGACTTCCTCACCACTTCAACCACAAGCTAATGGCAAAGCTGAATCAGCTGTGAAGATTAAGAGTTTATGCAAGAAAGCACAAAGTGATGGTAAAGACTCACAGAAGGCCATTCTACATTGAAGAAATACTCCAACCAAGGGCGTGGACAGTAGTCTGGTGCAGAGACTGATGTCAAGGAGACTAAAGATCTCCTTACCAGTGGCAAATAAGTTGCTTGAGTCCTCTGATACAAGGTGTCCCAGAAAAGTTACAACTTAAGAGACAAGCATTCAAGGCAAGATATGATAAATCAGCCAGAGATTTGCCAGAATTGAATATTGGGGAATGAATCCGTATGAAACAGTTGCCTGGAGATTGAACAGGTCGCTGGAAAATGGGTATCTATTCACAACCGGTGGCACCACGCTCCTATCTAGTGGACATTGAAGGAACTCTCTCATCACAATCATGTGGATCTGCATGTGGCTGAGCAGCCTGACTCTTCATATCCAGGCCAGACATACCTGGTATTACCAGGCCACACTTACCCACTGACAATAGGGAATACACAGTGTTGATGCCACAGACCAATGTTAATGACCATCCTTAGCGAACCAGTATACCTGACAGCAGTCAAATGCAGAACGTCCCAGTAAGTGGTGAGAAGAGCCCAGCAACCTCAGCAAGGTTGGATAAATTCTTAGTACAAAGAGGGCCAGTCTTCACCCATAGTGGCATATGTTCACAATCACTCAACAGGCGTAACCTGTAGGAAGTGTTGGTATTGGTTCTCATCCGAAATTTCATGTTTGCTTAACATGAAAAGGAGAAGATGTTACAGATGTTACGTTTATCTTATATGCAGCTCTATCATTCATCTCTATTGTACTTGTTTCCTGTATCATATTGCTATTCTATGATTCATTTTTTTATTGTTCCTGTGATGCATCTTCCTGTCTCTACAGGAAGTCCTCACTTAATGATCAATTTCTTAGTGACTCTTTGAAATTACGACAGACCACTCAAAAGTTACTTCTGACCAAATTCCAAAGTTGGTCATGGAACTGCACCCCTTCAATCACATGACATTTCAGGTGCTTGGCAATTGGCTCACCTTAATAGCTGGTTGCAACATTCTATAATCACATGACATTTTTTTCTGGTTCCCAGCCTTTTTGGAATACATTGATTTACTTAACAACCATGGCATTTGCTTAATGACCACGCAAAAAAGTCATAAAATTTGTCGGGGTTGTCACATGGGTACCTCGACTTATGTGGTTTGTAACTTATTGGAAATTCCAGGCTCCATTATGGTTATATGTCGAGGACTACCTGTACTGCTGTTGGTAGCTTCCACACCACATCTAAAATTTGGTGGTTTGGTCAAAACTTCATTTTTTTGTCAAGTGTGTGATAGCAATGCTAAGGGAAAAGAGCATAAGATCAGAATGGTGTTTGGAAATTAGTTTTAGCAAAATGGGTCTTAAATATTCTTATAGCCTTAATAAAGATGCTATCAGTTAAATGGCATTTGGCAGATTTTTAAACTCTTCCTAATTGCAAAATCCACTGTGGAAAAAAAGACATAATATATTCCATTTTCTGGGGTTAGGAGATTCTTAAAGAATTTTGAGGCTGAATTGTGGGCATTTTTACTGAATTTTACTGGTATTGGCCATTTGCAAATATTGTTTTACTTGGTGTGGTCAGACACAAGTTTAGTTTCAGGAGCATTGGAAAATTGGATGCTTTTCCCCTAAGAGGCATCAGAGAACCTCCAAATGACTTAATAAAGCTATGTGCAGGCTTGCAGTGTTATATTTGAAGTCAATTTATGTTTTCTTCAGTTCCACCATTAAAAATAACACACATTGCAAATAGTCAATAAAAAATTTAATTTCTCTATAGAAACAATACACAGTCTTACAAATGTATTCATTTGGTTTTTCAGTACCCCCTATGGATGTAAGTATCAGAAACATTAGAAACCGCAGAGCCCTCCCTTCTCCATAGCTCTAACCCAGTGTTTTCAATCTTGGCAAGTTTAAGGTATATGGACTTCAGCTCCCAGAATTCCCCTACTAACATAATGGCTGGGGAAATCTAGGATTTGAAGTCCACGTAGCTTAAAGTTACTAAAGTCGAAAACCACCGCCCTAAATCATTTGTTCAGAATAAAAACAAACAGAAAAGGCACCACGCAAGAACGTTGTATCTTAATGGAATTTCATTATAACAAGACAGATCTCAAAAATGATTACTGTACAGTGATAAACAAAATTTTAATGTTCCCAGTTTTGTATTGAAAATATTTTTATTTTAAGGAAAATTTGATTATCAACTCGATGTAGTTACAAATCTGTCATGTTGGAAATCAGGAAAACGGGGTAATTTACAATGGTTTGGAGAAAAATTCCAGCATTTTACATAGGATTTGTACAAGGTTTTACTTTTTTTTTAATAAAAAAAGTATCAAAATGGTAAATTACTCAAATCTATATACAGTTTGAGGTTAGTTACAGTTATTACATACAAAGCCTTTTTCTTCATTTTATAATTTTATTCATGCACACGGTGCATGGTTTGTAGTAACTGAGTAGAGCAGCTTTAAATATTTTCTTTTCCCCTCTACATCTTTCTTCAGAAGCGTGTATTTAACTCTAAAGCTTCTTTCTCAAAATCTAGCAGAAAGAAATAGACATCCTTCCTTCTCAATACCCATTAGAAACAAGCAGCAAACTGAATAAACTTTCCAAGGTGCAGATTCTATTATACTCTTTTAACTTCTCACTCATCCTTAACATGAAGGATCAGCTTAGGCATATTGGTATTTGTCATCAAGGGATGACTTCCTATTATCAGCGAGTCATCTTGAATATTATGACTTACATCAATGAATATATATTTTTAATAGTTGAACAGCCATTATAAACATGAGATACTGTGTGTATACATGTCATATAAACTGGAAGCAATTGTGCAACCATTAAACTCGCATTGTCACGGCGGCATTATGTGACATATTGTGACTTCTTTCCCCTTCGCTAAATCGGGCGGGGGCGTGGAGAGCATGTGACGCATCCGTCCTGCGGGCAGTGAGTTTGAGACCCCTGCATTAGATCATCTGTTTTGTTTGCAGAGAAAATCTTTGATGTCTATAAAAGTACAAGATTGTCTTTGTATCACTACATTTCAAACAAAAGTTCAATTTGTTATGAAATTGATTCTTTGAAGGGCAGATTTTTTTT